AAAACGTAAAAAGTGCCAAAATGGTTCTCAGAATTGCAATTTGGCGATAGAGTTCATAAAAAAGCAATCAAGCTCAGTTTATTAGATATACCATTTGGATACATTACAGACAATAAACCTGCCCAAACCTGTTTTGCAAAACTGCCTCTAAACAAGAAAAAGGCATTCCACTGAAAAGGCTTTTTCTCCAGTATGCAAAACAAAGAGAGGAGGAAAAGCTGCAGTGTTAACATAAAAGTTGATCATCTACAAACTGACTGAACCATTACATCACAGCAACAGTGAGAAAGTGGGTGTTGTGCTATTACTTTCCAAACATTCTGGAGGAGACACGATGCTCCATCACATTACAAGAGACTGTTTCATTATTATGGTTTCACTGTGAGACAAAGCCTCGGGGTATGTTTGTACTGGATGGGGGAAAGCAATGAGCCTCACATCAACTTTCCACAGCCCATTTCCCACAAAAATGTATTTAGCAGGATTTAGAAATGAACTGTTGTTTAATAGGGACACTGGGACAAAGAAGCACTTTCCCCTTGCTTGGTCCTTATTGTGATTGTGGTATAGCTGCTCAGACACTATATTAGCAGCCAGATCGTTTTTGTTAAGGCTTAAGCCTGCACTCTTTTCGGGCTTTGATTTGAGCAAGAAAATTGAGGTAAAGTCCCCAAAGAACTACACCCAAATAGGAGTAATGGGCTGGCTGAATTGTGCTCGGCAATAAGCAATTAATTACATCAGGCAGGAGAAAAGAATGAAATGAAGAAATGAAATGAATGAGACACTGAGAAAGAAAGAAAAGGGCAGGGGTGAGAGTGAAACAAGAAACTGGACATGTCGCGTTGGAAATTGAAAACCGTAAGAAATTGCTATGAAATAGACACAAATGCACTGTTTGTAGTCATGTGCTGCCTCGCAGAGTATTAAGTCAAAGACAAGCAACTTATATTCCCTAAGTGCTCAGTAGCGTTTAAAGACCAGCTAACAGCGTGCCGTTGGGTTATATTTACTGCAGAGTCCCTTTCCTTTGCTACCATGACAGCTCTATATCACAGTTTCACATGGTTCTCACGTCTCTTTATTTATCCTCAGCTATCTTTATTTATCTGACAGTCTGTGCATCGAACACCTTCAGGGGAAATCAAAATGCCACTGAGCATTTCTACATCAAAGATACATTAAGAAATATCTACAAAATGCTATAGAGGCATGCTAAAATGCTAAGCTTATAGCGTGCAGATTAAATATTAGTTTCTCTCTGAATATGCAGATAAAAGTGTGCAAGAGTCAAGATTTGTTGTACCAGATACACTATATTGCCAAAAGTATTCCCATGCCTGCCTTCACACGCATATGAGTGACATCCGATTCTTAATCCATAGCGTGTGTGGCTATAACACCTGAAAGTGTTCTGGGAAGGCACGAGGTTTAGGAGTGTGTTTATGGAAATGTTTGACTATTCTTCCAGACGTACATTTGAGGTCAGACAATGATCAGGACTCTGTGCAGGCCAGTCATGATCTTCTAGACATCCATGTCTTTATGGACCTTGCAATGTTCGCAGCCATGTTGGAAGAGCAAGGGGCCATTCCCAAACTGTTCCCACAAAGCTGGGAACATGAAATTGTCCAAAAATGTCTTAGTTTGAAGCATTAAGACTTCCTTTGACTAGAACTAAGGGGTGAGCCCAGCTCCTAAAAATCAACCCCACACCATAAGCCCCACTCCACCAAGCTTTATACTTGGCACAACGCAGTCAGACCGTACCTTTCTCCTGGCAACCGCCACACTGCACTTGTCCATCAGATTGCCAGAGAAGCATAACCACTGCTCTAGGGTCCAGTGGTAGAGTGCTTTACATCACTGCATCCAACATTTGCATTGTGCTTGATGATGTAAAACTTGGATGTGGCTGCTTGGCCATGGAAACCTATTCCATGAAGCTCTCTACACACTGTTTTTGAGCTAAACTGAAGGCCGCGTGAAGTCTGGAGGTCTATGTGTGTTAGCAGTCCTAGCCACCGCTCTGTGATTTTTCCATGGGCTGCCACTTCGCAGCTGAGTTGCTGTTGTTTCCAATCAGCTTTACTTTGTTATACCAACACTAACAGTTGACTGTGGAATATTTAGTAGTGAGGATATTTCACGACTGGACTTGGTGCACAGGTTGCGTCCTATCACTGTACCAAGCTGGAATTCACTGAGCTCCTGAGAGCAACCCACTCTTTCACAAATGTTTGTAGAAGCAGTCTGCATGTCTAGGTGCTGGATTTTATACACCTGTGGCCATGGAAGTGATCGAATGCATGAATTCAGTGGTTTGGATGGGTGAGTGAATACTTGTGACAATATAGTGTAATTTATGCTAGACTCATTGGCTCCACACTGCCCTCCTTTTTAAAGTTCTCAGAGAGCAATCAGCTGTAGCGTGTCTAAATAAATGCTGTAAGAAAAGTCTGTTCCAATTGTGGATTTCATTACTCTATGAAATCATCCGTGGACAAGATTGATGATATTGTTTCTTGGTCAATATTTGCTCTCTCTATGAAAACATTTGCAATATAAAGTTTTAACTCTGTGCTGTTTGCCAGTGTCTTAATTTCTGCTCTCTAAGCTCCTCATTACATTTCAAACAACAAGAGAAAAACAGCACTGCGGATTCAAGATGGCACTGAATCACTGGCTGCCGCTCGGCCAAAAATATAGTGTGTGAAGGAAATTAATCATAGAAGCTGTGAGCTCTTCGATGGCCGTCTCAAACTGTCCCTCCATGACGTTTTAAGTCCAACTGTAGTGACAGCATTTTGAAAGAAAATGTTCTGAGCAAAAAAGTAAAAGTTTACAAGTGTGCAATGGCACTGTGACTTATTTTAACACAAACAAAAGCCACATGTGCACATATAAACAGGGCACACACCTAGCGTAATTCAAAGCATTTTGATGACAGTGATCAGACTCGGACAGCTTAGCCTTGTTATCCTTGGCAATTAAAAGGCTGCCAAACCTAAAGTCACAGCCACAAAACATATATAAAATATATAAAATATTAGAAGAATGCAAACATAGAGATCTGTCTCATCTGTATATCCCCCCCACCTACCCGCTCTAATGCTCCATGACAGACTGGTGATGAGTTGGGAGAGAAGCGCACGCAAACAAAGAGCATGGTCAATAATTCATCTCATCTTGCTGCAATCCATTACACTGCATTTATTATACATCATATGGGCAGCAACATGCCATGCACGCCCGAGCAGTCACTCTCCCATGTTGGAGTCAGACAGGCTCCCTGCAAAACATCACACGTTGGCACTGACACAAGCGAGATGGCAATTACAGAGGCGGGCCGCTCACGCGCACGCCGCACCCGGATGCTCAGACAGACACAAATACAGAACTACCTCATCGTTCTCTGTCTTTCTGACGCTTCAGAAAGAGACAAATGTGATGAATGTCTGCCGCCGGTTCTGTCACACCGGTCACACAGATGAGAATGCTTTAGTGTGGAGAAGGCGCACACATCGCAGACAGTCCTGCAGAACTCTTAAGTCAGTAGGCGACAAGCTACTTTGTAAAATAATCAGTTTTGTTCCACTTATCCCCTTATCTTGCCTCTACCATGAGGTTCATTTTTGTTTGTTTGTTTATCCCTCAGCCTCCTAGTACAGCGGTCCCCAACCCCTGGGCCTCAGACCGGTACCGGTCCATGAGTCGTTTGGTATCGGGCCGCGAGAGTTGAGGCTCCGGTGTGAAATGTATGGTTTTCAGGGTTTTTATCGGTTTTCAGCGTTATTTTGTTATCGTTTTTATCATTAACTCGGTTTTCCTGGGTCTTTTCACGTGTGTTATGAATAAATCTTATTTTTTTCGGTACCGATACTAGTTTTATTTTGTTGTATTTATCCGCGACACCTTAAAGGCCGGTCTGTGAAAATATTGTCGGGCATAAACCGGTCCGTGGCGCAAAAAAGGTTGGTTGATGACATCCTTGTCAAGTTATCCCAGTCAAGGTTTTAAGAAAACATGACCTCTGACCCATGACCTTGATGCTGAGGTTACTCAGATTTGGACTTGTCTGGGATTTTTAGCAGATGCACCTGTGGTGACAAAGTGAAAGTCCTGCATCCCTTTGTTGTCAAGTTCTTACACTGACAACTTGGGTGTCCATATTGCCACCTGCCATATCCACCCAGCTGACAAGGTGACAACAATACCCCATCAGCCTGTTACTGCAGAAAGATGAAAAGGGATGTGCATCAAAGACAGTGTTTTTGCAAGTGCTGTACTCAAAATGTTTGGGATGAATTAGGAACATGGTAGTGTGTAAAATCAGCCTTTTACTTATTGCCGTACGACGGCCATGAGAATGGTTGTGAGCAAATTTCTGCAAAACCAAGTATCATTCCCTTCAGCCTTATCTGCATCTTTTGGGTGGTGCAAACCTTCCTCTGCATCACTCTGATGTAGTTTGTTTGCGCCTCATGGTGAATAATCGAATGATGTCAGTACTTATACTTATGGAGAGGTATTAAACTGCAGTTAAAAACCTTTTTTAAAATATATAAATAGAAATATAGTATGCATGTCGCCTTGTTCATATTTCTCGTGTCCGAGAGAAGTTTCAAAGGAGGGCAAGCACAGAGCAGCATAAAACATCCATTCTGTACCACTCCTCACAGACAGTTTCACACATTTACAGGAACTGTGGCTGAGTGAATGGAGAACATTACTCTTCGGGTTTTGGTCAGTTATCTGATGCTCATACTGAGGACACATGATCAAAGGCAACCTGCGATGAGAGGAAAGGCAGCGAAGGCTCTGTGAAACAGCTCATTCAGGTCTATTATTAAATGGAACAGTTGAGTTATAAATAAATAAATAACTCAACTGTTGCATTCAAATTCAATGCAAGTACTTAGAGAAACAAATAGATTTTGCAAGAATTAACAAATAGGTGAATGTAACTCCAAAATTAAGAGAAGTAGCAGCAGACTCACCTCCATGCTGGTAAGATTACAGCGATGGGTCCCACCGAACCAGCCACTGTTGGAGCACTGGTCAATGTCCACATCCTGCAGGTTCACGTCCACGCGGACAACGCCCCTGTCAGAGAGAAGGAAGCAGGGAAAGAGTCAGGACAAGAGTGCAGAAGAAAAGAGGGAAAGAGGGAGGTAGAAATATTGAAAGGAGTAAATAAAAGAAACAAATGAAATTGAAGAATCAAATGTGTTCAGCAGGAATGGAAGAAAAGTGAAACAGAACAGGAGGGAAGATGAAAACAAGCAGAAAGGAGGCACGTGGACTACACAGATGCAGGTGAGGTCAGAATGAAAGGGAAGAAAATTAAAAACAGGAAAGAAGAGCAATGCTCGGGGGAAGTGAGGTTAAAGGTTCAACAAGCAGGAGAAGGGAGGTGTAGCCGAACGGGAGGAATAGGAATAAATTGAAAGGGAGAAGAATTAAGAGTGATGGAGGTAAGTAATGAAAAAGAAGAGAGAGACAGAGGTAAGGAAAAAGAAGCAGGGTCAGATTCATAATGTGCCACTTTTCCTTCCAGACACTGAGAAATTAAAAAGTAACGCTTTTAGTGTCAAGACTGCATTGCCTGTTGCCTCCAATTTGAGAACGCTAGCTTTCATATTTTCTGAATTCGGTTTCTTTGTTCTTGTTGCGCGTTGAACACTTTCACAGATTTGTGTGGACCTTTTGGGTTGCTGGGAATCCTGTGCAGGATGCTGACTGCCTCGCTGCAGTTTAGCTAGAATCTGGTTGTCAGGCCATTTCACCTTGACTGATGGGCCTCATCATGTGCCTCATCAGCTCGGCTCACTACAAATACTGTATCCTGTCGCTTTATTTTCTGCTTGTTGAGCCGCAGACAAGTCAAAGACAAACAACTTTTGTTCCAGAAGATCATGGCTTCTCTTTCCTGTCAACAAATGCAACACGATGACTAATGCGATGAGTCGGCTGAAGCACGTTTGTGCCTAATAAGCGCATAAATCTGAATCGCAAAGTTGCCATGACAACATACTGATGTTTAAGAAGTTAACTAAGAATCATTAACACTAAAGACAGTAGTTTAGGCTAATGGAAATATCAGCAGTTTTCTCATTTTGAGAACATTTTTCACCTGATGGTAACTCGAAATTAAAAATAAGAGGTCACCCAAGCTGCTATAAACAGCTTCTAGTTCCACGACAGCTGAGTGCTATAGTTTTTAAGCACATTTGTTGGACGGCTTTCAGCGGTGGATTATTGCACATTTGGTGCTGTAGTGAGCTTTGAGGAAGCAGGCTGGTATGTTATGAATAAAAGTAAACTACAATCTGATCCCATGCTTCCCTGTGCAAATGCCAGTGTAAAGTTTTTAAAGGCAGTATTTATGTGGGGTGTGTTCTCTGCTCCCGGCCGTGTTCACTATCAGATTCTGAGGATTTTCACACCAAGGGTGAGAAATACTCTTGTTTTCTTGCTGCGCCTGAGACCCGAACAAGTTCAATACACGGAGACTGCTGGCCTGTGCAGCAGTGAGCCACTACAGATTCAGACTGTGGAGTGAAGAAGGTTAAATAAACTGGTGAGGGATGTGACTGAAATACAGCACAGCCCGAGACTTCAGCTAAGTCAGTGTAGCCCACAGTGAATAGATATCTTTGTTTATGACTCTTTATCTCCCTTTCATCATGCACACTTATAAATAATGCCTGGTTTTCTTTTATTAAACCTTTTATTAAACCTCGCTGTCAATTCCTCCACTCCTTTGTGGTGAAGTGGTGCCTGACACCTGTTACCTCCCTCCCCCATCTGCCTGGTGGGAAGTGGAACAAACAACCGCAGAGAGAGGCTTTGGCTACCACCTCTACTCGAGTACACAAGAAAGAAAAAGAAGCAAATGTGTTTACGCCTGTATGTGTTTGTGTGCACTCGAGTCCTTTACGCAGGTCAAGGCTTGGTGGAAAGCAGAAGTAAAAACTGAGAGATGTGAAAGAGCTTGGATCTGTGTTAAGATGAGGCACAAATTTCTTAGAGTGAAAGAAACATCAGGACAAGCACTGCATGGGGGTACAATTTGATCATTTCTGCTACAACATAACAAATGATTGTGAAGACAAATGTACGCCTCGGCCTGAGTACCACTAAAAGAGTGATTCTTTACATTTACACAGCACAGATGGTCCTTTATTTCTCTGGGATGATTTATTCTTCCTCCTCTCACTAGCAATCCATCAAAACCATTTAGCCACCCATTAAGGCTTCATGATAACCATCAGTCACTTCCAAGCTATTTACAAAGTGCTGCTCTATACTGCTTAAATTCTGATTTCATGAATCCAGCTTCACAGCGACCCTACCAATGAAATTATTTCAGATTAGGCTTAGGTGAGCAATAGATGGATAAGCTGCTCTCAGGTCCTGTGTCAGGTCTTTGACGGACTTTTTCCTGTTTCTTGAGGAGATGACTTGCAGATTCTGTCTGCTGTAGACAGTTTTTTTTAGGCCTGCCACATCTTCTTTTCTCCTCCACATGTCTGGTTTCCTCAATTTTTTTTAAAAACACACCGCACACAATGTGGAGATATGCCAATTTTCCAGCTATTAGTGCTGCAGGAATCATTGTTTTGGTGCCAAAGGTATGATTTTATGTCCATCAAAATGTGTTATCTTTGCTATTTTCTGTAGATTCAGGTAAAGAAGCTGGAAAATGTATGTGTTTGTCATAGTCAGTGGAAGCAGACTGTGTGGAGCGTGAATAGTGGACCCAAACGCAGACACAACATGTCTGGAACATGGAACGTAACTTGATTTAACAAAAGGTGAGCTGTTTAATAAGGCTGATGAAAAGGTACAAACGAAGGGCAAGGCAAACTGATGCAAAACTAAACATTAACCTAAACTGAGTAAACTGAAATACAACATGAAAAACCCTGACATGAACATGAATACATGAAACCTGGAAGCATGGCGTGAAACAACAGACGACCTGACAATGAAACATGACAGCAGAACACGAAACACAGGGGAACACAGCTTATACAAATGAACATGACGCCACAGGGGAAGCAAAACTAAACACACTGAACATGGAACACATGACTTTCAAAATAAAACAGGAAACATAATGGGATGTAGACATGAAACACAGGGTGAGTGAGACATAAACACAAGGGGCAAAGACACGAGGGGAATCTGATAAACAATGAACTATAACAGGGCAACCAAGGCAAAACAGAAAGAGCTTAAGATAACTAAATGAACTTAAACATAAACCATAAACCATCAAAATACACTGAAACGCAAAGCGCCAAGTTAAAAGACCCAGGATCGTGACAGTGTTGCAACAGGCTACAGGTAAGAAAGTGCCTAAAGACAAAATTTAAAATAGGTGCTTTGCTAAGTTGTCTGCTGTGTGTGGTTCATTCCTTGAGTTAGGTGCCTTTTCTATGCTTGAATGAATTTTTGCTTGAAAAAGTGGTCAGGTACGAGGGCTGAAAAAGCAGCTAATGTCCAGAGAAAAACAAAAAGACCTTCAAAAGCACGAAGAGCTACGCTCAAGGCCACTTTAGAAAATTACAAGAACATCTGGCTCATTGGAAGCAAAATATAAACAAAGGAAGGGCGTCACAAGACTTTTGCACAGTACTGCAAGCTAGAGACGGTGGTTATGCAATGACATTATCTGTGCTGTTGTGTTGATGACAAATAGCGAAAGTGAAAACTGAGAGAAAGTCTTTATTTTTGTTTTTCTGACAGATTTGCACATGATCATTTATATCTATGTGAGCTACAATTCAGTGCCGCTCTTTTCTGAAGCGAAACAACTTCGGTTATGGTTTCTATAAAAGAAAGAAAAACATGAAATGCTTCCAGAGGTATAGTATCTTATAGCATTTCCTTATAATGACACAATATCTTTTTTACCATCCTATATAAAAGTGCTGGAGGTGAGGCTGCTGGATTCTTGTCGGGATCGAATTATTTTATTCTGGTTTTCATTTACACATGTCAAACTTTTGCTTCTTCCACTCCTTGTGAAAGGCAGAGCTGGAGCTTAGTCTGAAAGACAGACAAAAATCATTGGACAGAGCCTCTCTCCTCCCCTCATTACCTCACAAATTTACATCAGACTCAAATAATAATAATAAGAAAGAGCAACAAGGCTTCTTTGACACAGAAAGTAGAAGACATGGAGGCTCTGGCTTATCATCTCCACTACTTTATGCGTTTCTGTCCAGAGCCAACAAACTTTCTATTTTTAGAAATGTCATCGCAGGAGTGAGATGAGTCGAAGAAACAGCATAGCACAACTCGCATTACAGAACGTAGAGGGAGGAGAAAAACATCATGAATCTGGTTGTGTACTTGCAGCCAATATTTATCCTCAGTTACAGACTGTATTTCTCTGAGATACACACTCAGGTTTTAAACACCCACTTTATTATTTTCCCTCTTAACTTGACATTTCCCTTGGCTCCCTTTGCTGACTCCACAGTCAATTTTGACAAATGCCAAACTATATTACTAAAAGTACGGCAGTTATTTCTTGATCTTGGAAACTGGAAAGCTCTGGGGGTAAAGATACTAAGTGGACCCTGAGTTTTGACTTTTTCAAAATCGCTATTTCTGAGGTCTTGACTAATTTTAATCCTTACCTTTACATCAACCGGTCAAACCCCCCCTAACAGTGCATACCTCATAGTTTCCATCTCTATTCATTACAGAGTTTCTCTATAATCCAGCATCCCCTCTATATTCATATGAAACATCACAAATGGGATTCAGTATCTGACTTGTCTTCTTCTAAATGTCACAAATCACAGTGACTTGTAAAATGTCACAATCATTTAAACTCACTCAAAACCCTCTTGGCTGGGCTGGAATAGGCAATTGATTTAATTATGAATTCATTCACTGAACTGATTTAATCACACTTAACATTTTCCAGACGCCTTAGGCCACTGACACAAGCACATCTCCCATCTTTCTCAACTAGTTAAACATCCTCATCATGACAAGTTGATGGTTTAAAACGGGCAATATCCCGGACATGACTCGAATCCTTTTTTGGAGATGAACAAGCCAACGCAGGCAGACTGAGTCATTACAGCAAGCTGAAGCTACCCTATAAGACAGATGCTTAACTTTCAAGCAGCTCTAACAAACATCTCTGGAAATTTGAGGTAATCTGAAAGTGTGGACCATGTTGATGCTGATAGAAATTCATTGTGTAATAAGAATCAGCCATCTTCAGATCCTGCACGGAGATGATAGCTGTACAATTCTCTAAAAAGCCAGAAGAAGCCCTCATCACATCGTAACACTGTCCCTGGAGCAGGTAGTGATGCAGCATTTTGCTCAGGGACACATCACCGGGGTGGATGCATGCCAGGGTGAGGGCCGAATCACAAACACACACTGCTGCCTATAAACCACGAGCACTGTGCAGCAGTGTCATTCCAATTTAATTAGTCTTGCTTATTATGTAGTGACAGTGTAGGGGTATTTTACATGTGTAGGTGAATCTGTGTCTGTGCATATACACTTGTGGATCTTTATATTGAAGATGGCAGAAGTTTCATGTGATGATGTCAGCGGATATAACACCAATGCCTGTGAGCCAAAAGCTCAGGCTTCAGGTCGACTGAACACCTTTTTGGGGAGTTTTTCTCCCTACTCTTCACCTTGAATGACATCAGTCCAAGACGATGTCCTTAACACGGGCATCTCAGGGACAAAGATCTTGCTAAGTTACAGCAACCATCCACCTGGTTTTCAAACCTTCTGTTCATGAGGGAAAACCTATGAGAAGAAAGGAAGCAGACAAACTAAAGGGCTTCACCAAAGCCCAGAACAGGATAAATAAGGATTATTTTGAACTGTGAATCATGGAAAGCTAGAGTCCAAAATAAAAATGCAAAGCTAGAGTTAGTACAAAACTAAGTAAGTAAGTAAGTAAGAGTTGGGTGTGTGTGTGTTTACCCCAAGCTTACCCTTGTTGTAAACTTTCTGTTTTTCCTCTCTTGAAAAATATTTATCATCTTTATTTGTATTTTTTTCTCCCATGTTATCTCACATTAGCGACACTGAGTGTGTGAGCGATACACTGACTTATACACTGCAACTTAGACTGATGTAAGGGTGAAGTGCACCTGGACCTCTGAGTGGTTTCATCTTGTAGTCGAGATTTCATTGTTTATTCATGGCTTCATTGATCTTCTCAGGACACTCTTGGACCGCAGCCTTGAAATACGAGAGCTTTAGGTGTTTTGATGCACCTAAATGTTACCCACAAACACGCACGCGTGCACACTTCTATAGATATCCTCACTTACGAGCACTGCGTAAAGCCTGCAGAATTCATTAGAGTGCTGGCTGCAGCAGGGCTGCATGCCTGTGCCTTGACAGGTGAGTGAAATGTCTAGATAGATCTGCCAAGGTTCTTTTTAACTGTCTGCTTCTATTACAGCAGTAGGTGGATCCATATTTACATGAAGTCTCACAGAGGTTGTTGTCAATTAAATGCTGTTAAAGCATTTCAATAGCTGACGCTGATTATCTGATTAACTTTAATTATTAATAAAATATAAAGAAATAGATACTTTAACATGTGTGAGCTGTAATAGAACATTAAAACATATTTTTCTACATTTTAAGGACAAAAAAGTGACACTTTTCAGTCTCACCTGAACTCTGGCGCTGAGTTGCTCTTAAGTCCATAGAAGGCTGCAGACAGGGTGAGCAGCCAATAGGGCACAAACGTTCCGTGTTCACACTCCAGGTATGGCGCAGACCACTTAATTTGGTTTTTGTCCAGGAGATAAGTGCCACTCTTGGAGCCCGATGCCTCCGTGATTCTTCTGTGCATGTGTGGTCTCCTGCCGTCCCTGAACTCATTAAACCAGTCAGTCTCCGGACTCCTGCCCTTGAGGTGACGGTGCGCAGAGCCGGATAGGTCCTGTAGTACCACTTCATTCTCGGTTCTCGTCGCCTGGAGGAAAACGTGGGGCCCTGGCGTCAGCGCATCCGTGTGCAAGGTCACCACTGCCCTGTGGATTTTAGGATCCCCTTCGAGGATGCTTTGAACCAGCGCGTGGTACCAGTGGATGTCCCTCCGCAGGGTTTGCTCCCGGGACCTGTTGGCTTGCAGGATCATATTCAGGAAGTTTGTGGCGTGCGCTACAGTGTCCAGAATGCTGTGGAGGGAATAGTGGGAGGCGACGTGGAGGCCGCCTCGCAGGCTGCTCAGCTCGTACCTCCGCGAACAGTTGACCTGTCTAAGCGCCGAAGAGTCCCCGGTGTGCAAGAAAGCGGTCACCACCCTGGGCAGGTCCTCCTCGATTTTGTGCGCCACCACCGTGCGCTCGGTGGCTGGTAATGGGTAATAGGTCGGATGGTGGGGTGGCTCCCTGTTGATATTTTGGGTGCTGAAGACTGGTGGGCTCTTATCGTCGCGGTCATTGTCAGACCACTCCACATAACCGTAGTTTGAACCCCAAACGAGCCCTGTTTGCAGGAGCAACGGGACGACTAGGAGAGCCATGGTTCGTTGTCACAGGCACAGAGCAGACACCGCGTGGACTTGGCAAAGTGTGGCGACCATCACCAAAGCCACTCTATATCTTCTGCCGCTTCAGGAGATCAGAAACACTTTCAAACACACGCCCGAGGATGTCCTGGATTTCATACCTACGACCAAGCATAAAACGGCAAACGATTTCCTCTTGTCATCTTTGCATCTTTCAGAGAGAGCACACTTTTCCTCTCTTCTGTTAAAAAAAAAAACACACAGTGTGATCTAAACAGCTGCACAGACACGAACCAGCTTCCTAACTCATGAGAAAACCACACGGACTCCTCACCAGCCCGCAATCCAGGGGAGTGCTCGGGTTCTCCTTATGTTTTTACTCCCGCTCGGAGAAATCCAGGAGAAGAATGACAAGGGAGAGAGCAAATTGTACTCGAAGTTCCGTCCCTCCCAATAAAATCCTAATAGGCCACCTCGAGAGTCGCCCACCGGCGTGTGTGCTGGTTTCTCATTGCCGGTCTGTCTTGAGGTGGGCGGAGCGTGGGAACGACGAGAGCTGTCCGGTGCTGAAAGTAGCGCCCGTAGGAAGAAAAGCGAGGGAGGCTGTGGTGATGAAGAGGAGCCCTGAGTAATGAAGACGAAGGAGCAACCTGGCAACTAGATTTACTTTGCAAATGAAAAAAAAGAAAGAAAAACGACTGCGTGAGTGAGTGAGAGAAAGAGGGGCGGGGGAGGGGGGGGGGGGCTCACATATAGTTTAAACTGTGATTAATTATATATAGACAAAATGTCCAAAACTGTGTATAAAGTAGAACATCACACACATTACAGCCACACTTTTTTCTCAAGGGTTATATTTCTAATCATCAACCCAAGCAGCACCATGTATATTAGCCAGGTGTGTTCTAATATACTGTGTGTGCGGCTGGGAATCGCAGATCCACGCTTTCTTGGGTCCGAGTCACGTAAATTTCGTCAAGAGAGGGCAAACGACACGGTGTGTCTGAAGATGTCCAGATGCCTGCCAATTTTTTTTTTTTTTTTACTTTTTTTCGAGCCTTAGAGGCACTGAGACATTACAGTATAGCCTAATGCGCTAATTTCAAATCCTTCAGGGGGACTTGAAAGAACTATAATAGGACCGAGTGCGCATCTGTGCGCGTCCAAGCGCGCATAATCCGGGCCTCACTCACGATTCAGTCACGGTACATTAACCACAATGACAGTGGTACCACCACACAGTGATTCTGCCATGTGATACATTGCAAGACAATTTGTAACTGAAGGAGACTTTAGCATGTCTACCCGTTAAAACAGAGGGTAAAGTCTGGGATGCTCTGCTTATCCTCTGGATTGTTGTGTCGGTTTTTGTGTGTTACTGTTTTTGTTATTACGGATAAATAATGTAACAGTGCAATCATTTACCCCTATGGCTTGGTCCCTCCCTTACGAGTTCTCCTTCATCAACTTATTTAACTCCCACACGTTTTAATTCAAGGGTTTATATTTGGAACCAGTGCTGATAACATATTGCAAGAGGAAGCCGGTGTGATACATCGCTGCATCATATTTTGTCCCACGCAGCAGTGAGTAAATAAGAGAGTGGGCATTCCTCTTTGTGCTACTTTCCTGTGTTTAGACACTTTATGAGTCCATCTGGGGACTCGTTTATGTTCACGAGTGCGTGTCCATGGGGCTGATCGGGAGTCATCCCCGGACTGTAAATGGGTGGTGCAGAGTACACCTCGCCCGGGGTGACTCGTAGGCCGTTGCCATGGCAGTGGAAGGTGACGAGGCAGAGATCTCCCCCATGCTGTCCGCTGCAGCGAGTGATGTGGACTGCGGCCTGTCTGGTTTTACACAATCTACAGCTACAACTACTGTACGAACTCACCACCACCTCACCGCTCACCGCCAATCAGCCAGATGAAAACATGAAAAACAGACCTTCACGGGCAGACGTATAACCGGTGATGCTCACAAGAGAGTGCGTGTAAATCAAAAAGAAAAGGTGTGTTTGTGGCCGGCATGGCGAATGAACGGCGAAGTCGAGAGACAGAGAGAGAGAGAGAGAGAATCTGGGCGAAAGAGACCGTACAGAGTGACTGCTCCTGCCCCCACTATTTCATCTTCTCTTACAAGCTGCACTGGCTCCCCTGCTCTGATAAATATTTGATAGGCATTTGCTGCTTCATCTGCATGCTTTACAACTTAGGGTCCATACAACCGCAACACGGTAGCGGCTGCTGTACCAGCCGTGCGCTCTCACCCACGCTTCCTCTGTTCTCCCAGAGGTTCCTTTAGATTTTCTCAAAAGAGAGCAAAGGAGGATAAAAGGCTCAGGAACAAAATAAAAAAATAAAAAAATAAATAAAAATTGGGGGTGCTTCCTCTGCTGCTTGTTTTTCTTCCTGCACTCAGGAGTCTGTTTCTTTCTGCCACACCCATGCAGCCAGCTGCATTTGAACTCAAACTACCGTACTGAGGTTGCAAGGTGCTGGCCGGGGTTTGGCAGAAGCTGTGACCTTTTAAGGGAGAGTTTAAATGTAAGCCTGTGATGAAAGGCTGGAGAGGGCACTGAAGGAAAAGACATGATAGGCGTTACTCACACAGTGTGTGGATTTATCCCATGAATCACAGAGGAGTTTATCGACAAGGAGTGAGTTTTCTGAGATTTGTTCTGAAATGATATCAAGTCATCTGTTCTGATCTGCCTCTGGCATGTTTACATATAATTCTAATCTGTATGCGTGAATGATGTACTTTCACTGATGCAGTTAGCTATCACACCAGCATCACCTGCTATTTAAGGCTCCACCTTCAGTCACATCTCTCCATCTGTGCTGATGTATCTGTAGAAGCTGTCGAGAACGTCACAAACTCTATAAATTGGAAACGGTTTGAGACCTCAGCTCATGTGGAGGTATAGTGAAAGCACAGGGTGATGAGGATGAACTTGTGTAGAGAAGAAAACAAACTCCCACTGCTTTCAGTGTTTGGTTTTATGTGAAGCGGGTCGAGCTCTGCTGCCCATCGGAAAGAAAATTCTGCCAAAATCAAGTGGCTCTGTGTAAAAAAAATTGGCCATTAAAATTGAAATTAGGCAAATAGAGGTCCACTCTTAAAATAATACATGTACAGAATCCCCTTCCAGCTCAGTACAATCAGTCACAGTTAAATGCCACCACTCTGGCTGCCAAATCAACTGCGGTTCCCTGATAAAGATGAAAAAGGCTGCCCAAAAGTGCTACTGTATTAATTTCCCATGGTACAAGCTGCCATTTCTCAAGTGATGCTGATGGGGGGGAAAGAAAGAAGCCATTTTCATCTGCAAGTATCAGTGCAAAGTTCCAGATGAATGGCCCGTTCTTGTAGTGAAACTGTGTCTTACAAAATGTAAAATAATGTCTGTGTTTGTTTTTCCAGTTTTTTTTATCAGACACACAATAATGCAGGTTACAAGAAAGAGTCTGCCAACAGTTCATCACTGTTGATGTTGGTAAATGCAGCATGTCTTTCGTTCCTCAAGGCTCATTACGTTGCCTCTCTTCTTGAGCATGTGTGTATGCATCTGAGGTCCTTTGCTCATATCGGTGCAGTGTTGTGTTATTATCACTACTATTATGTATTATTTTTTATGTGTTGTGCAGATTAAATCCAGCACTAAAGTTCCTGTTCAAACCCCCTGACTGTGTCTATCAGTGCAGCAGAAGGTGAAACCTAATTAATTCATATCACACCATCAACACAATAGTGCACAGATTTCAGGCCAGATGTTTCCAGAAGCGTGTGTGAGAAATTGTGTGCATTGTGATGTTGTCAATAAAGCCTGCTATGGGTGAGGTTAAAAGCAACCAAGCTGTGCACAAATATCATTTTTGATGTAACCCCTGCTCTGCTAACGTCATTTAAATATGTCAGAGATACTCTGATCTCACGCATCGCTCCAAAGTGATTCAACTGCATCCAGGACTGAGGATGAAGCGTGTATAGGTGCTGCAAAAATCAAGCTGAGAAATGACAGCCTCATTTACTTGTTACCCACAGACGTCTGAAAGCCTCATCCAACTGCACACACACACCAGCTTGTGTTTTCTCAAAAAGACGCAGCCACATGCTCTCCTAGAGGAATTGTGCTGAGGGACATTGTATGTGCGTGCACTCGGAAAAAGCATTCATAAGTTGTCTTGTACTATGGAAGCAAAGCGAGTGCGAACAGACAAGTGTGAAAATCAGTTTGTCGGGAGAAAGAAGAGACTCTCCAGCCTTTAGTTTAGCTTACTTGGATCTGTGATCCAGTAAAATTACACACACTCACATGCACATAAACGTGCCTGACAATTTGGTTTACTTTTTGTTTTTTTCCTTGTCATCTTCATTACACAATCTAACTTGTTTACACAACTGTCACAAAGATCCTGTTTGGTTGGGCAGTAAAGTTTTGTCTTTGCTGCCATCTGGAGGTGCAGCTTCATCCACGTTTTCTATTGAGAGAGCTGAACTCTCCCGCTTAGATTTCTTCTCCCAGAATTAACTGTTTAGCATTTCAGCCTGTTCGTATGACTGCAAATATCTAATCAGCCAATCACACAAGAGCAGCTCAGTGAATGACAGACATGCAGACATGGTCAAGACAACCAGCTGAAGTTCAAATGTATCTCTCTGATCATTGAGTAAAAAAGAATTAGAAAGAAAACGCACATGTATTTTCATGTAAAGTACCAGATATGTAATCATATATGTGTTAGTGTGTGTGTGTGTGTGTGTAAAGAAAGAGGATGAGGAGCAGGTGAGCAATAAGTAAGACTTAAGGAGCTGGACAGCCCCAGGAACAAAGGTTGCCCTCCTACAGCGTGAGTAGTGAAGACAGCACCCATAAGGGAGCCACTTAAATACAGGCCACAGGGTACATGAGGGGTCTGCCATATAATCTGCTGCTCACACTGACTGGAGAGTCCAGTGGTTTTAGAGCAGGCCTTGACAGTGTTCTACAACTGATGCATGTAATAAAGACTGATGGGAGTGCAACCAACACATAAAGGAGAACCTTCTAATGCTCTCTATGAAGGAGGAGCAGAATATAGCGAGGGTGATTTGTTAAAAATAATTGAGCTTTCCCAGGAGATTCAGCCACTGCTGACTGCTTTGCTGTTGAATTTCAGTTATTTACCAAAGGCTGAGCCCTAATACTCGTACTCATCTACCAGCAGGTTCCCTCGTGAATCTAAATGACCACCTCAGCCAGTTCCCCCTATGTGTTAGAAAAGGTCCAGACCGTCTGCCCGGTCTTTTTCACATTCAGCTCCAGGCCTGACTTACTCCACCAATCCAAAAGACAAATTAAAAAATAAAACTGGGCCTAAAGTTACAAGTTTTTATTTTTGGACTGTACCTTTGACTCATGGGGATTACTTCTACATATGCTGAGCTTATTACTTAGCACAAAAATGGGACATTTTGTACACACCTTTTCCTCAGTATCATTCCATTTGCAGCAGACTCTTATAACTAAGTCTCAGTACTTGGCAGCCATTTTATTGAACTTGTCTGTTGCCTGTCTGAATTAGCATTCATTTCAGGGGACATAAACTGAGGTGCCTACATACAATCATTGATCACTGCTTTAAAATGAACTAATAAACAAATAATGTAACAGTTTACCTACTCTGCCCAAAAACAACGCTTTAAAAAAGCTTTCCCCTGAAGGTTATATTGCTACCACAAATTTTTTTCTTTTTTTTTAATTTTTTTTTTTTTGCTGTTGTAAATTCCCCCGTAGACTCGCTAACAATGACCCAAATAGCAAAATTTCCCACAGCCCTCAAAGGCAGCGTGAGAATAACCTTTGATAACGAGCGCGGACGTGAACGTATCAATTAGCCTTTTGCTTTGGGAGACGTTACATTGATTTCGTCGTGGTGAAAGAGGTAATGTTTAAGATTTCCAGTTTGACACTCTTTATGTCCATGTCCCACTCGTTTGTCGTGATAACTGTCGCGGTCGGTCCCACTAAAAAGCGCTTAAACCGACACCTGCCGTTGGAAGTCGCGAGCTAGCTGATGCTAACCAGGCGGCGTCAACAACTGTTAGCTAGCGTGAGTCAACTGTTATGGGCTTGTTTAGGTTTGCTTTGGGCAGAGATTATCAACACGTAAATACCGAAGACAGTGGCAGAATACAGATGTTTCTAGCTTATTATGGTTAACTAACATTATTTTTTTTAATTTTCAGCCGTGTCTCTGTTTGTAACACTGTTTATAGCGTATTAATATTAACGATAAAGTAACTATATAAAGTTAATTCATTATATATGGACTCCAAAACAACTACCGAGTTGGGGAGTCTGTCGTTGTATAACAACCTCCTCTTTTAGTCACACTTTGAATTATAACGATGGTTGTTCTCTAATAAAAGCTGCGTTGTGAGCGTGTGTGTTGGCTTCAGTGTGTACTTTTCTTTATTTACAGGGACTGATGGATTCCCCTCGGAAGGCTAAGAAGGCTAACGTGAATCGAGAGCCAAAGCACAGCCAGAATCAGTCAAGCAGGCCTCCTCAGAAAGATGCCTATGCCAGGCTTCTTAGTCAGCACCGCAGCAGCAAGTTCAGTTTGTATCTAGAACAATATGCAAAGGATTCGTCCTCTCAGAGAGAAGACAACGGGCCAAGCCCACAGCTCAAAGCCCAAAGTGACAGGGTCAGCATACCAGCACGACAAAGGGACCAAGTGTTTAATGATTTCTCTGACTCAAGTGACTTCTCCCCTTCCTCTGTGAAAAGTAAAGGAGGAGAGAGTTCATTGTCTTTGTACATGGAGAAACTAAACACTCGCAATGTTCAGCAAGACTGCGAGAGGAGGCAAGGTGTGTTTGATGGGCAGCGGAGGGGGCAGAGAAGAGATACCGCCACAAGCCACGACGGAGACGTTGAGTCTGGGGAGGAGCTGGGTTCTTTAAAACCAAATGATGCAAAGAAACACCAGAAGCAACAGCGAAAAAACAAGGATTCGAACAGAGATGTCGTCTCAAAAGAGGCCGATCAGCCTGGTGGACGTCTTCAGTCTCCTAAGAAGTCAAAGAAAAAAAATCTGCCAAAGCACCCAGAAGATGAGAAGATTAGAGAAGGAACATCAAAGTGTGGAGTTGATGTTCAGATGTTAAGTCCCAAGCCTCCTCATGGTCGTGATAAAAACATAAAGCAGCCCAGAGGTGAGTTGTGGCTTACCATTGTAGGGATTGTACTTTATGATCATTTAAATTAATAGTGGCTTTAATTACAGAACTGTTTGTTTTTCAGCTTCAAATGCCAATTCTCCTGCTGACAAGGGTAAGAACAAAGGAGGCAGAGGATCAAAGAAGCAAGTGTTTGATGCTTACATGACCTCTGAGGAGGTTTCCCATGGTCTTAAAAGAGGAGAACTTATTCAGGTATAAGCATGAGTTGGAAGTTAATTTCTTTCAGTATTGATGATCTTACTCTGTAATAGTCAAGTGATACAGACAGAAGTTTCATCATTTTATTTTCAATTTTATAAATGCATTTTGATCAGGTTCCTAAATCAAACGCTCAGTGCAGAAATGACATTGTTGAAGCAGTGGTTATCTGAAAAAAATGGTTTGGTTATTTTTTTCTTTTGTCTTTAGGGTCAGCTCAGAATAAACCCCAAGAAGTACAATGAAGCTTTCATTCCGTCTCCTGTAAGTTGGCGTGGCCTCCCATCAAACAGAATGAATTTGACACATCATGTTTTGCTGCCTCAGTGACCTTGTTTAATTCAAAATATTTCTTTTTCTGTTCACAGGATGATACACGGGATATATTCTTAGATGGAATTGTTGCTCGCAACCGAGCACTGAATGGAGACATAGTAGTTGTGCAAGTACTGCCTCGGGAGCAGTGGAAGGTAAACGAATAATATTTCTGGTGACGTATATGTGCAGAATTCAAGTTTTTTTCTTATGAAACACTCAGATCTTAGGAGGTACATAAAAACTTTTGTTGATGCTTTTCAGCGAAAGTTTTTTGGTGGCAGACATAATTGAGAGAGAAGCATCTTTGAACAAAATGAAGTCAAGCATTGAATTGTTGTTCTACTGGTGTGGGCGGGGTCTGAATATGTACTGTCTTTATATGTTTGCATTAACTCAGTTTTTAAAGGTATTCAATAACAGACTTTGTTTTATACACACTTGTACTAAGTTTTAATATTTTTTTATTTTGCATGTTTTTATTTATGGGTTGGGGGGGTTTTGGGGGGCGGGTTTGTCTGTTTGTTTGAGGGGTTTTTTTGTTTGTTTTTTGGAAGGTTGTGAGGTCAGATACTGACTGTGAGGGTGCCAGCGAGTCAGACACACCCACTGTGCAAACAGCTGCAAAGAAGACAAAGAGCACTCCCAGTTCTGCTGTTAGTGTGGAAGAGCAGTGCAGCGACCGGGATGAACAAAACAACAAATATCAGAATATATCAGGTAGTATAAATACACTGGTCACTGCAAATAATTATAATTAATAGCTGCTGTATCACACATTGCACTTATTCTGTTGCAAAGCAATTCAACTGTACACGTCATAAGTTCCACCTTATTTATACCAGGTTCGACTCAATTTGAGCTTCATTACATAGAAGATGGATAAACTGAGGTTATAAAGAGATGGACACGGTCACCAACAATACTCATGTAGGCTGAGGCAATTAAAACATGCTCGGGTTTCACTACAGTCTCCAAAAAAGCGCCGAAAAAATGCTCCCCCTGCCGTTACACCACCACCACCACCAGTAGCCTGAAGTGAGGGAAGGATGGAGCCATGCTTTCATGTTGACATAATTGCTAACATATCAGTAGATTTCCAGCAGCTTGCTGCATTCATGAACCAACCCTTCTCATTTGTCTGTATTTACATTCATGCATGGAGTGGTTGCACATAACTTCTACAACACACCAACGCTTACCCTACATGACATTAGTAAGATTATTTATTACTTCAAAGGCAGGATCAAATGGAGCGTAGCATTCAAAAAGCAGAAAAACGAGATCTCGACGTGAAACCCAAGTTAGACCATTATTTATTGGTCTAAATTGAGTTTGTGTATAACAACAAAAGTCTGTAAAGTACAACTAATACCTGTTAATATTTCTCTTGATGTGATGGAATTAGGAGAACGTCTGGGAGAACCATCAACACCACGTTCCAATGGGGAGATACTCCAAAAGACAGCTAAAGTGAGTTTCCATCACATCTGTTGCATTGAATTTTTAAACTAACAATTTCTCTTCCTTTTCACAAACAAAACATTTAAAAGGGTAAAAAAATCATCTTAATGCAGTTTTTTGTTTTTTTCCTCCTGCTTGAGATAAAGCAATTACAGGGCTCTACAGGACTACGTTGTATGAGTTACAAGTTTCCACCAGAATTGTATCATTTGCCTAACTCGTGTAAATCTTTTCTAAAGCTACTCCAATCCTATGCTAAGTTACTGCAGTAACAATATTCTAAATGGGCCATAAGTTCTAGTTTTTCTTTAGCAGTGATTTGTCACTTCTCAAGTAAAGGACCGCTTTCAAAGCGATCGCTTCCCTTGCAATCTTTCTACTAGGTGGTTTACATTGTTGAAAAGAAACACTCAAGAGCTGCCACTGGCTTCCTGAAGCACTTGCCAGACAAGCCCTTTGCCTTGTTCTCCCCTGTGGACCACCGGGTGCCACGGATTAATGTTCCCCTTGCTGATTGCCCTGAAGATTTTAGTTCCCGTCCGGGTGACTACAAGAACACCTTGTTCATCTGTCGGATCACAGACTGGGCAGCGGACAGCAATTTTGCAGAGGGGTAAGTGCTATAGTCGAATAACCCGGGGAACTGTTAACTCTGGTTTGAGAACTCTGCTGACACACTAAATCTTTTCCTACAGTCGACTAGCCAAGTCACTGGGACAGGCTGGAGAAATTGAGCCGGAGACGGAAGGCATCTTGATAGAGTATGAGGTTGATTTTTCTGAGTTCTCAGACGAGGTGTTGGACTGTCTTCCCAAGAATCTGCCCTGGACCATCCCACCTGAAGAGATGAGAAAGAGAAGAGACCTGAGGTAAGACTTTGAAGCCCAAATACATTTGGCGTGTTTTTTTTCCTTTTTTTCCTTTTTTCTTTTTTTTTCTTTCTGTATTTTATGCATCTGCATCTGTTTTTCTGTCAGCCTTTTGCTGATTATTTCATAATTCAATGTTTGTGATGTTTAGGAATGAGTGCATCTTCACAATTGACCCAGCGACTGCCAGAGATCTGGATGATGCCCTGTCCTGTAAACAGCTGCCAGATGGTAAATTGCTAATGCTCAGTGAGAGTGATGATGTCTGACAGGGGTGGATATAGCTCAGAAGGTAGAGCAGGTCATCTACTAATTGGAAGGTTGGTGGCTGCTCCAGTCTGCATGCCAAATATCTTTGGGCAAGATACTAAAACAGTTGCTCTGTGATGCATTCATTGGAGTATGAATGTTAAATAGAAAGCACTTTCATAGGAAAACCATAGAAAAAAGTGCTTGTGTGAATGAGGCAAGTTGTATAAATCGCTTTGAGTCCTCTAAGTAGAAAAGCGCTAAATAAGAAAAAAAAACAAGGGCAAGGAATAACAAGAAAAAAATTTTAATTGGGGTGTGGTGCATTGGTCATAAGTATCCTATTCTATCCATAACCTGTACATAAAAGATGGATGTAGCTTCTGCCTCTGAAAAGGGAAGCCAATCCAGAAATGCCTTAAACCTGCATTCTTGCTAATGGCCACTAGGCGGCAGTTCCTTTGCTTCCAACCAGATTATTTTTATTTTTTTTTAAATAAATAATTAAAAAAATAACTTTAATAGAAACTATTATTTTAGTAAATATGGTCCCCATTTAAATAAAGAAGGTGGATAAAGCAAGGTTTTATGGTGGGCCAAACTTCTGACTGAAGTTTGTCACTGGTATACAATGGGACTGTGTATTTCTGTGACCTTCCTTCTCACCTCCAACCAGTTACAGCAGATGACTTACACACCCTGAGCCTGGTACTTTAGGAGGTATTCTCCTGTTAGAAGGGAGTTTTTCCAACTGTCAAGTGCCTGCTCATTGGAAATCTCTTTGATATTGTAAGATCTTTATTTTTACAGTATAGTACAACTTGACATAGGTGTTCTTTTGTGAACAAGCATTGTAATAGTACATTGAATTGAAACCGTACAATAACTACGTGCACCTTCTATTATACAGTCTGTTGTCCTAATTTTTCTGTCTGTGGCAGGCAACTTTGAGGTGGGAGTTCACATTGCTGATGTGAGTTATTTTGTGGAGGAAGGAAACTCTTTGGATGTCATTGCCAGCCAGAGAGCAACTAGTGTCTACCTGGTTCAGAAGGTAAGTACTCCCCGAGGCTTTTTTCCCCGTGTCATTAATTCTCAGTTGTCAGGGGTTCATTTAAACTGTAACTTTTTTAAGTTCTCAGCCCTCAGTGTCTGTCTCGTCACTCTCCAGGTGATCCCCATGTTGCCTCGGTTGCTGTGTGAGGAGTTGTGCAGCTTGAACCCTCTCGTCGACCGACTCACTTTCTCCGTTATTTGGACGCTCACACCCGAGGGAAAGGTATATAAGCTGATATAAATGCATCTGATGTTGTGTTGTTTTTTTTGTTATGTTTTTTTTCCATTGGCCCATCTGTTTGTTTCCGCCTTACTTGTCAGATTTTGAATGAGTGGTTTGGCCGCTCAATCATCCGCTCTTGTGTGAAGCTGAGTTACGACCATGCTCAGAGCATGATCGAGGCCCCTGAGAAGATGTTCTCTGCTGAGGAGCTGCCACCCGTGGACCCCATGCACCCTATTGATGAGGTCCACCAAGCAGTGCTCAACCTTCACGCTATTGCCAAGAACCTCAGAGCTCAACGTTTCTTAGGAGGAGCGCTCAGACTCGATCAGGTTAGTGTTGGTTTGTTCTTTGGATTAGGAGAGGAAATACTGTTGTCCTTACTGTTACGCTTAGTGGATGTTTGGAAAATATGTTTGTATATACAATGTTTTATTCTGGACCAAAGGAACTGGCTTCAATCTTAAATTACTGCAGTTTCTTGTACTGAAGTGTATTTTATGTTTAATGGTTTCAGCTGAAGCTTTCTTTCACTCTGGACAAAGAGACAATGATGCCTCAAGGTTGTTATATTTACCAATACAGAGACAGTAACAAGTGAGTAAAAAGGACTTTTCTTTTTAATCAGTGCCTGAATAATCTGTCAGTAAATTTAATGACAGATGGGTTTTGTTGGGGTTTTGTTTTTTTGTCTCTGTGCTGTTTTAAAATCTCAGTCCTATCACAGTCTTTTCTCCTCCTTTGACTGTTAATCTCTCATTAATAAAACCTGTTCTCCAGGTTGGTGGAGGAGTTCATGCTGCTTGCTAACATTGCCACAGCCAACCACATTTACCGCAAATTCCCCGAGTTGGCCTTGCTCAGGCGCCACCCTCCACCCAAAGCCAAGATGATGGATGAGCTGCAAGAGTTGTGTGACCAGCTGGGAATCAAAATCGACCTGTCTTCTGCCGGATTATTACACGTCAGTACCCATAATGCATTGGTATCCAATTGCATTCAGGGTTTGAAGTTCGGTTGGAGTAAATTGAAAACCTTCTTTCTTCTTGTTTAACATGCAGAAGAGTCTCAATACTGCTTTTGGTGATGACGAGTACACAAGTGCCAGAAAAGAAGTCCTCACCCACATGTGCTCCAGACCAATGCAAGTTAGTACTCATAGTTAGTACTAGTATGATTTAGAGCAGTAAAAAAAACAAAACCCTGTTTGTATTAGTTTTGTAGTGTTTATCTTTAACCTGGTTCATTTGTCTTTCCCAGATGGCGTTGTACTTTTGTACAGGAGTCGTGAAGGAGGAGCAGAATTTTAAGCACTACGCCCTCAACGTTCCTCTCTACACACACTTCACATCACCCATCAGGCGCTATGCTGACATCATCGTGCACCGGCTGCTGGCTTCTTCACTAAGTCTGTCTCCTTTCCACAAAAGGCTCTTTCAGACAAATGACAGAATTTCTATTGTGTGACATTTCTGGTTGACAGTGAGGAGAAAGGCACAAAAGAGCCTCAAACATCGCTCTCAGTCGATGTATTGTTTGTTCTTTCCTTTTGGTTTTTTTTTTTACTAAATAAGTAAAATGTATTTATAAAGCACATTTAAACACCTTTCATTGATTAAAGTGCTGTAACAAAGCATGTATATCTCTATACACACGAGCATGTAACTGCACTGCACTGAGCGAGAAAATCAGTGTCACTTAAATTTGTGTCCATTAATTCTGATACTCATGTCTCCGCTGAATATTTGTATACAGAATGTGGGCCTCGAATCAGCCTGTCAACGGCGGAGGTAGAGAAACAAGCGTCACACTGTAACGACAAGAAGGCTTTGTCCAAGAAAGTCCAGGAGCTCAGCTCTGAGCTCTTCTTTGGAGTCTTTGTGAAGGTGAGTAACCAGATCACAACTCGCTAACAGCTGATGACTACCACACCCATTTATTGGTGTTTTTTCCAACTCTAATAAACACAGTATCAAGATTATAGACGTAAACATCAGTTATGAAAAAAGAAATTCACAAAAGTGTTCAACAGTATACAACGGTCCCTCGCTATAATGGGGTTCACCTTTCGCGGCCTCGCTGTTTTTCAGATTTTTTTTTTTTTGGTGTGCAATTTTGCATGCTTGCTATGCTATCAGCTTGTCAAATTTACATAAATCTTCGATCGCTAGCAGTGTGACTCTGAAGTGCTGTACTGTATGTTTGTAAGTTTTCTCCCCGACAAACACAACAATGTAGATAAAATGTTATGCACCGTCAAAGGCAGAGGAAGATGCTAACCATCGCACAAAAAGTTGAACTTCTGGATATGCTAAAGGAAGGTAGAAATTACTGTATTTTTTTGAGATTATAAGACGCATTAAGTGAAACAAAACAGTCAGATAAGTCAAACTTTACTCAACTCATTCTTCTTGCTTCCTCCACTTCGGTACCATTGATTCATTAATGTTGAATTCTCTCGCAGCTGCTCTATTCCCATGTTCTGGACCTGAAAACAGGGTTTGATCTTTGGTTTCATTCTGTAATACTGGACTTATTTTTCTACGAAGGTTTGAACTACGAGAGTGTTTTAAAAAAGAAACGTGTGAAAATGTTGATGCCTGTCTAAGAAAAGTGTGTAAAGTGTGTCGTGGGGGTTTTACAGCCTTAAAACATCTCTAATAACTGTAAAAACTAAAGCTGGCTACTTCGCAGATTTCACCTATCGCAGGTTATTTTTAGAACGCAACTCCCTCGATAAACGAGGGACCACAGCAAAATGAAATGATAAAGGGGCTTGCTTGGCTCAGGAAGTAGAGCTGGGTTGGTGGTTTGGTTCCTTGGACAAGATGCTGAATTCTGAGTTGTTCCCAGTGTGTTTATTGGAAAGTGAAGGTGTGTGAATATTGGCAAGCACTCAGAATAGAAAACAAGTGCTTGTATAAATGAGGCATGATGTATGAAGGCTAGAAACCAGCCCATTCACCATTACTGCTCAAATTCAAAAGGTCAAAGATAAGAACATCACAACACAGGAGCAGATTTAGAGCAGAGTTCATTACATATCTTTATATATCTGTCCTGGTGGAGGCAAGAAGTGTTGTAGATTTTTAACATCTCAACAGGAAAAAAAAGTAGTAAACCATAACCCAAACCAGTGTTTATTTCCAAATGTTTGGTTTTTTTTTTAATTACCTGTCTTCAGCTAGATTCCTAAAATGTGAAACGAGTTGAGACTTAGTTTCTTAAGGCTAGTTTCTTAGGCTAAAGATTCTTTGTATTTGCATCCACCACACATGTTTTTGCAGGAGTCTGGCCCACTGGACTCTGAGGCCATGGTGATGGGGGTGCTGGATCAGTCCTTTGATGTGCTGGTGCTCCGATATGGAGTTCAGAAACGCATCTATTGCAAGGTCAGCTCCAACAATGGGTTTTACAATGTGATTTTGTTTTTTGTTTTTCATCAAAGATACCAATTTATTCCCAAGTCTTAATTTTTTACTTTTTAGTAATTAAGAGATTATGCTTTTGACTGTATATAACTTTCAGTTCTTTGCAGTTCTTACCATGCCTTTGCTCAACACTCATATCTCACTCGGGAGAAAGAAATGAGACTGTCGTATGAGAGACAGAGCAAAACAGAACTGTCACTTTATTAGTTTATTAGAAACAGCTGAAAACTGTTTGTTTCCAACTTTAGTCTATCACTGGCTTGGACGCATTCCGCCATCGTAAGGTGGGGAAGAAGTCAGAGCTGACACTGCTGTGGACTGCAGAGGCCCCGGAGGATCCGCCTGTAGAGCAGGTGAGAGCCACAAACATGAGCCTGTGACTTTGTGTACTCAGGAGAATAAATGCCAAAGCACTGTTAAGCACCCCACATTTATCTGTTTTTGTAGACTAGTAGAGTAGTGTAACAAATTTTGGTTTGCATGATTACAAAATGTCTTTGAAGCCAGTTGACGGAGTGGAATGAATAAATCAGAATTTCTTGTCTGTTCAGGTCATTTCCGTCTTCACTTTAGTGGAGGTGCAGCTCAAGTCGGATGATGCGCCTCTGAAATACAGCGCAGTGCTCAAGAGACCCGAGGACAGCGCATCATAAACGTACAAACACTTGAATGGAAGTCAGGAACATTTTCTTCTGTTGGTTGCTAGGAATAACATTTTATAGAGTGTAACGTGGAAGCAATAATTCAGTCAGATCTGAGTCCGATTTTAATTTCAATCTTCTCCAGTTGTGTTTTTGTTGTTTTTTTTCCCCCCCATACTTTTGCAAACTTAATGCAAATACCTTGAATGTATGCATGTGGGCTATGTTATAGGATGTAATATTTTTAACCTGTTGTCATACAGGACTTTGCTTACAGCTGTCCTGTGGCTCCGTTCCTTTGTGGAATCAATGGAAGAAGTTCAAAATCTATGGTAGACATACTACGTGGCTTTAAATCTGAATTAATTCAATATTATTTTTTGCAATTTAAGATTCCAAATTGAGCTCTGACTCAGGTCTGACGCTGAAAGAATCAAGGCAGCAGTGAGTTCTATTTTGCTGTTGATGGTTTGGTGTGACTATAACTGCTAAACACATTCTAATATGAGAAATCTGATTTTTAACCATTTTTATTTGAATGTTGATGAGCGGCTTCCTGATGTTTGAGAAGAGACGATGGTTTGTGTTTTGCTAGGCATTAGATTTACCACACCAGTGACTTGTGACCTGCTCTGGTTGTTTTAACTTGTTGCCACAGTGAAGCTTCACAGGTCAAATGCAGCTGTGATAGCAAGGTGTGACACCTTGATTAATTCATATTATCAGAACATGTACACTAATATTCACATGTAACAAAAAAAAAAAGAAAAGCTGAGAAGTTTTCTTTGGATTCTTCTGATGTTGTGTAATGTCTCAGTCATTAAGTAAAGCTCACAGGACTTTTCTTTGCTCTACTTTGTGAAATAGGAGCAAACGTATTGCTCCAATCCAAAGAAAGTTCTTGTTGTTTTTGGTTTTTGGACTGGAGCGATATGATTAGACTAAGCTTTTCTTTAGTCAGGCTAAAGCTTACCAACTCTTTGTTTTTACTGCAAAACACAGGGATGACCCACGTGTGAATTGCTGCTAAAGATGTTGACTGCCTCGAGGTCTTAATGAATTATATGTTTGGTGGTTGTGTTTTTATGCTGACATTTGATTTGGTCAGCACAAATGATTAATGTACCTCATTGATATTTAAGAATGTCAGCCTTCCTTTTATCCGCTCAATTTAATTTGATCGAACTGGGACTGAACTCTGGAGCAACTGCACATTTTTAAATGGAGTGTGGCCCCACTTTTTCTTTGACTCAGTCCTTGTGCCTCAATTTAGTTCTCACACCTGATTTTGATTGAACTGTGATTAGCTGCTGTATCTGCACACTTTCTCGTCTGTCAAATCCATTTTTTTATTTTTATTTTATTTTTTGACAGATCTAACAGCTGTCTTTTTAAATAGAAGTGTTTAGTTTTACATGTACAGACAGTACTTTAATTTAAAATCCATGGGTACAAAGCCAGTACAAGCCACTGTGTTGAAGAAGTAAGATGTCTGACAAAGTTTCTTGTCACATTTAAATGAGGCAAACATTAAAATCCAGTTTATTTGGGTCTCTGGTTATATTGTCACATGTAACGTCTGGTCAGTATTCACTGTGCAGTGATGATATGCTCTGTACTTCCTCCAGTGCAATATATTTGATTGTGTTTAGGAAAATACAGACATGAAATCTAAACTGTGTTTTGTTGTCTGTAAATTACTTTTATCATGCCTGCTTTTTTTTTTTTTTTTTAAATTAATGGTTGTAACTAAGGAAAGGAACTTCTAGTCAGACATTAATCAGCTGCTATTTTAGGGTCCATTAATATATCACCATTAGCACACAGGCACTGCCTGCTTCTGTTTAGTTTATACAGCAAACGACACAGATTTTTTTTTTTTTTTTTTTTTTTTT